CTGAAATACGTGGCCTAAGGACCACTCAATGGCTGGCTTTGAGGGAAGTGGCCCATCTTGGCTCTTCCCAACAGCAAGCACCAGCCCAAGCCCTGGCCTTCCCGCTGGACCAAGCAGTGCTCTTTTTGTTTTTGCCCAACTGTGGACTCCGCATAGTTAGCTTCTCCACTGAATATTTTACACCTTATCTGGTGAGGTCATTTCCTATCCATGCATAAGCCATAGGTAGGTAGGCCCACCAGCTTGGCTTTTGGACACCATAGAACCAGCCACCTCAACTGAGGCCCTGGATAATGTTTCCAGTCGCTGCGAGCTAAGGGCTTGTTTCCGCTTCAAATTTCCACCTGAAAGTACGTCAGGAGAGACTAGCTCTTCCTGAGTCATAGATAAGCTCACAGAATCCCTAGAAAGAGTTGAACAGGAGCGGGGGGAAAAAAAAAGCCTAGAGAACTGAGGATGAACACCCTTGTATTGCTGAGGGTTGGCAGTGGAGTGTCCTCCTCCTGGGCTTCGTGGGCCTCCCTGTGCTGCGCCTCCTCGCGCCGCGGTGCAGCGCGCACTCGCCCGCGTAGCCTGTGCGCCTCCAAAGCGCGGGGAAGGGGCCCGCGCCTGCCCACGGCTGCGCCGCCATGCGCGCGCCCAGGGGGAAGGAAATGGTTTGCAAGTGAAATAACGCGGACTGCCCGTGGCCGTGTACACACGGAGCAGGCAAAAACGCGCCCATCTTCTCTCTTCCTGCTGCTTTAGAGGCAAATGAGACTGCTGGAGAGCGCAGAGCTCTGCTCCCCTTGCCTGGCTGTTCCCTCCTTGCTGGTGATTTGTTCTACTGGATCACTCAGAGAAGCCATCACCGGCACTGCTCCCATCGGCTCAGAAAAGCCCGTTAACACCTTTTCTTTGGCCATTTCCCTAGGTGACCAGTTGGTTGCCCATCCTTCTCTGTGGTCCTCGCAACACCAAGGTTGTTTCCGCAGACCCTTCCACGCTCCCTGACCGAAAGCCGGGCAGAGCTGAGGAAAACCCTCCCGCGCCGGGCGCACAGGAGGCCCGGCAGCCCTGCAGACGAGCCAGATGAGCCGGTGCAGGAGATGCGGGGCCCCAGCGCGCTGCGCAGAGCATGAGTCACACCAGCGGCAGCCGCCCACGCACCGGACCTGGATCTCGCCTTTGAGTTTCTGCCAGTTCCCAGGCTCAGCACCGAGCTGGCTGCTGGGGGGGGAACATGCAGGTGGCCACGGGGACAGTAGGACCTGAAGGGGCAACCAAAATCAACCAGCTTAAGGCGGTGGAAAATCTTGCAGGAGTCTGTGGGGGGAAAAACTTTTACTACCAAACTGGTAATGCCGGAGAGCTCTGGAGAAGCATCTCAGGTCTTGCGGACCCACAGGAGGGTGTCGGGACCGGCAGGCGAGGCTCGAAGTGCTGAACACAGCGCTTTGCCCAAGCTGGGAGAGCAGAGCATGTTTTGCAAACGCCAGCCTAATCGCCCTCTTTTCCCCCACCTCTCCTCCATGGATTTAAATCCTTCAAAGCAAGGAAACTGGAGAACTTTCTGTTTGTTGTTGTCAGGCCCTTTCCCCAAGTGGGTTTTTCCCCTAGGCATACCTGGCTGCAATTAAATCCCCAGCTCTTTAATCATCTCTTTTGCTGCACAGGGGAGAGAGAAGAAAAAAAAAAGGCAAAGCAAGAGGGACAGACAGGTGATAAGATGATAGGCAATGTAAATCTCTCCTCCAGGAATCTCTCTCATCTCCTCAGCATCACTCGGTATGAACTTGTCCCTCCAGAAACTGCACAGTGAGAGGTGGAGTTTGTACAACAAGACGAATTAAAAGCAGTAAATAGAACAGATGTCTTATGATTTCTTCATCCTCAGGGTAATAAATATCTCCCCCTTTGTCCCACCCAGAGTTTTGGTTTGTTTTGTTTTGCTTTTTTTCCTCTCTCTCTCTTTTTTTTTTTTTCCAGAAAAGTTCTTAAAGTGAAGTTTTCCCCGCCCCCTCCTGAGGTCTGAAATCCAAGCATCAGATGCAACTGCAGATAGAAACCTCCAGGTACTTCCCTTGCCCAGTCTTCTGGCAGCATTTCCCGAGCAGGTACTATGCTTGGATTTTCTCCATGCTATTGCCTTCATCGCTCCAAAAAAAAAAAGAAAAAATGGGACCTGGTGCCCAGGCATTTTCCTGCACATTACGTACCACTAAGGAGGGAGTGTGAGTGGCACCTCGTCTTATTTTGCCCCCAGCCGTGGCCATATCCCACATTCCAAGCAGCTCCCTTGTTTCCTAGAGGAGCAGCTCTTTGCCCTGCTGCTGGGGTGCTGCACTCCTGCAGCCCCTGAGCTTCAGCCCACCAGCCCCCAGCTCACCTTGTCTCTCCCCACCCCCAGATTTTGCTGCATGAGCTTATGCTCCATGCCTAATTGCAAGCAGATGTGGCTGACAATAACGTCTTAAGGGTCACAGGAAAAAAAAAAAGTTTTAGTTATTTTGTAAGTTACCCTTTCTACTGCTTTGCTGTTGGAAAGCATGAGCCAATGCTCAGTGGAGCCAGTGCGCTTCCCACGCAGCAGGATTTGCTCTCAACAGCCAAGACACTGTGCAGGAAGGTTAGCAACAAGTGTGCAGATGGAGAGCACACTTGGAGGCAGAGCAGAGCTAAGGCAGCTTATCCAAGGACAGAGTCCAGAACAGTGAATCCATGCTACCTCCTAGCCCAATGCTTCGTCCACAGAGCAGCCAGCCTGCATTCCCTGCAGAGAGCATGGGAAAGTCCATGGCCAACAACTTTCACAACAACATATCAATGGGAATACTGCAGGCTGAGAGTGTTGGGCTGCACCGGTCTTTCCTAGAAATACGGCCTGGGCACCCTGTCTGCACGTGCGTGCAAGCTTGCAACTGTGGCAGGTCCAATGGGTGCTGGGGACTAGCGGGCGGGTGCAGACTGCATGGGGCTGAAAGGACAAACTCCCCATGCAGAAGCACATGGAGAGGAGCCCCAGGGACAGCTGAGCATGCAAGGAATGGAGGCGAGAGGTGCCCTGGGGAGAAGCCAGCCAAGGCTGAGAGGCTCCCAAGCTCCTGGAGCGACTCGGAAATGAGCCCTCTCTGGCTGAGCACTGGCCACGTCTCTGAATTTCCATGGGCCAAGGGGTCCTCAAGTGACAAGATGGGACTTCAGGGTGCCAGAAACCATCCTCACAAGGTGAAATAGCAGGGCCGTTTGCTAAAAACTCCTCCCGAACTGGAGGAGCAGTGAGAAACACAGATGTTTATGGTATGCTGGCCATTTCTCACCACAGTAGGTTAAATGAGGCTGAGAAGCCGAAAAATAAGGTTAAGCAATTGGAGCATAATATCCTTGGGGCGGGAAGAGAAAGCAGTGAGAGGCCATTGGTGCTTGAATCATCCTGATACTGCATTCTGGGCTTGGAAAGGAGTCTGTAACATCTTTATCTTGTGTATGTGTGTGTGTGTGCGCACTAGAGAAGATGCCAGTTTCGACAAGAACAAGATTTGATTTAAAAAAAAAGAACTTTGGAAATCTCATTAAATGGTGCCACCGTTTTTCAGCATTTAGGCGTCTGTCAGGATTATAACTGGATCCAAATAAGATCTAGGCTAGGATAATGCTTGCTCCGGCCCTGCCACTGTTCCCTGCGCTCTAGCAGGAGGTTGCAAGTAAGGAGGACGTGGTTTAATTTTTATTCCCTCAGTTTTTATTTCAGTTTTTGTCATATCAGCACACCACTGAAAAGTGACTGTTGGCAAGTCCAACAAGAGACACTCACAGGAGGGTCCTGCTCTAGCAAGGGGGCTTGGAGCGAGTCAGGCAGCAAGAAAAAGCCCAACTGCGCTTCACCGAAAGGCCAACTGAGGAATGAGAAACCAGATGAGGAACCGCTTGATGAGCTGCACTGAAAGGACATTATATGCGTTGTGAATAAAGCTATAATTTACTCGGCGAAGTGGGGAAGCCAGTCAGCAGATGCTAATCGCCACTCGTCCGTGTAGCCGGGTGGAATTCGGCTGCACCTCCACCTGCACGCGTATCTGCAGCGCTATCACTTGACTGCACAACCCAAACAACAGCATCTGAAATGCCAGCGGGGGAAGGACAGCGCTATGTGAGCGTGTGGGCGCAACAAGACCGCGCTGGCGCACGCCAGCCTCCCTCCGGGCTTCTTCCACCAGAGGGGCCTCGGCAGAAAGCAGTCACAGCACATTAACTCCATACAGTCACTGTCTACAACAGACACTTTTGGACCGTTCCAGTCAGAGACCTGACCTGGAAATATGGACAGAAATCCTCTATTTCACCATTGTTTTGGAGCGACCATGTGTGAGTGCTTGAAGGATCGGGTCTTTGGTCCGCGCTGACATCTAGTTACTATGAAACACAGTGATGCTGGAGTTTCTTAGTCTTCCCAATTGGATTGGTGCACCCATGGAGCTAGAGGTGCTGTTTCATAGCAACTCCACGCATGAGTCCAGGGATCACATGTCTTGGTTCCTCAGTTTAAATTCTACAAACAGTGGCAGAGGAAGAAGGCTATCGGGACACTCCTCTCCCTGATTTGGAGGGAGAGGGGCTCCTACTGCACTTACCATTTGAAGGACACCAAAATAGGCCATCAGGTATCCAGCCTGCGCTGCTTCCAAGCCAAAGAACTCCATAGAGATGATGGAAAACATGATCAGGAACAAACCTGGAGGGAGGGTTAACGAAAAGTACACGTCAATACTCCCCACATGCAATGGCTCAGAGCTGCTCTCTCCACCTTCAGTGCGAGCCAGTAGCTCTCCCTGGGTGTAAATACAAGCAGAATCCTATTCAAAGCCAGTCTATTAATGTAATCTTTAAATGTTAACTTTTTTTATCCCGCTAACTTTCATCTTTAAATAATGTGACTATGTAGGCTGTAGTTGCAACTGTTTATTATAAAGGGGTAAATATTTTTATTGTCCCGGCCAGACCAACCATTAAGGCAGCAAGAAAATATTTGTTCAGACAAGACTGTAACCATAAAATAATCTGATTGGAGTCCTCATTCCTTTTGCCTACCTGGGATTTTCACCGTGGGGAATGCTGCCTGCTTAAATACGGGTTTCACTGTCCAGTGTGGCAGTGACCACAGTGGCACACGGTGTTTCTCTTTCGGGGACAGATAGTGGTGTCGATACAGACACGCAGTTAGGGAAGGATGGGCAGAAACAGCCTGCACTGGCTCTGCCTTTCATTTAAGGTGATTTCTGGTGAGCACGGTGGAAGATGCCCACTAACTTAATCTCATATAAAAATACAACAGTGTGCATTTCCCCCCCAACACCAGGCATACCCCAGACCAGACACGCTCTATCATACACAAAGAGCCATCAAATTATACATGTTATGACTAAACACTGTTTTCTAAACAACGGGGAACGGGGGATGAGCCTGCTGCCTCCCCAGATGTCTCCTGCACCTCAGAGGTGCTAACAACCTAGGAAACTGCAGTTCTCAGCATGCAAATGTCCATGTAGCTTGAGCGCCGGGTAGCACAGACCCTGCTAGGCAGAAGAGAGAACAGTGGATGACCCTCAGTGTTCACTCCTGCCCTGCTTTCTCGGGTCCTCCAAGGCCCGAAGACTTGTGAAGTGGGGAGCTACCGTTCTCTCTCTTCTTCGTGGTAAGAAAACAGAGTACAGGAAGCGATATGTGAGGCCTGAGAAGACGGATCATGGCTTGGCATGATGATTAACGAACCCCGCAGTGCAGGGACGACCTTGCTTGCATCTCCTGGAAGCGTGAGAAGCTGCCTAGACTGCTGGCGATGCCACTGTGCGTTCATCCTGTGCTTCACCCTGCCCACCCAGCACAGGCAAACACAACCCGTTTTACCTACATTTAGTTAGGTAAATGCCTTTTCCAGTGATACTTCACGCAAGAGAATGTTTGAGTAGAAGACTTACTTTGGGGTTGGTAAGAAGAGTTACCCCCCTCAAAGTGGCTATTGCTCTGCACTGAACAGAACAAGGAGGCAAGGTGACCAGCCTAACTCTGTCCTTGTGGTGCACCCCATCACTTGCATCCATCAGCAGTGCATTTGCACTACCCAGCACATCCCTCTGAGCACCACAGCCCTTCATCTCGAGGATCACCATCCTCACAGAAAGCCAGCCCAGATGCTCTGCAGAAGGGCCAGGGGAGCCGGGTGCTTGCTGAGATCTATGGGTTTGCCCTGGCCCTCGGCAGCAGCACCCCACTGCCATCCACTTGCTTTGATATCACTCCTGTCTTAAGCCAGCTTAAGGTAACATGCAAATAAAAGTACTCACTCACCGCGACCAAAACACACAACAGAGGTGCCCGTGTTTATAAAAGAACACACGTGAAGAAATGAAAGAAAAACCACACGGCATTACTCTCGTGGTGAGATTAGATCGCAAAGGGTGCTCTGCCTTCGCGCAGCTCCCTCTCTGCCGGTACCACCTCGGAGCATCCCACCTCCCTGCCTGCCCCTGGAGCAGCGTGCCGGCTCCCCCCGCTTTGAAGTCCCTCACCAGGCGGAGGCAGGTGGGATCCTTCTCCCCCAAGCTCCATGAGTGCTTTCTCCAGCAGGAGACAGGATTTCTCCTGAAGGAAGGTAGGCGCAGTGTGACTTCCCCAGGGAAAGGCACACGGCTCTTTTGGGGGAGTCTGGGGTTGAGCTCTTCAGAGATCCTGGCACGAGAAGGACCAGTGAGGAGTGCTGGGCAGCTGATGCACCTTACAAGACTCGGTCAGGATGAGGGTTTGGGTATGCGCCAGCTTTGCCACTCTTACCTATAGATGTGTCCTCCTGGCCGGCTCTCGCTAGCTGTCCTGCTACCCAGGAGCAGAGCTGCCTTTGCTCTTCTGCAGGGCACAGAGGAGGTTCCTCACCATGTAAGACTCTTTCTCTTTCAAAAAAAGCTTCTTTTTGACAATAATGAGCTCCATAAGGAACAGAAGGCTTTCTTCTAAACATATCACAGGCATGTTTACAAAGTAAACAGAGAAAGGGCTGTAATTTTGGATCATCTAATTAATTACACAGCAGCAGCAGGGAGATGAAAGGTTAATGGGATGGTTAGGCGCTCGGCCTGCAGCTCTGCGCTGCAAAGGGGGAGGCAATGGCCAACCCCTCCTTCAGGTGCATGCGGACGGTCAGCAACCCCAGGAGAGAGCTGCAAAGAGGAGTTGCCAGGATTTTAACAGGCAGAGCTCTTCACCGCTGTGCTTCTGGCAGGAGCATCTCCGATGACCCCGTGCCGGCTCTCCCCGAAATGCTCCCGGGCGCTGAAGGGTCAGACTGTTAATTAGCACAGGTCCGGCCTCTGCGCAGCTGCTTCCTTCCTGCTTATCTAGAAGCCGCCTCGCTGTGTGGACGGGAAGGGTTTGTTTTTGTTTGGCACGAGGTTCTGCTCTGCACAGGAAGCGAGGAGTGTGTCCTGCAGCGCTGAGGAACGTGCATTTCCGCAGCGATGACTAAAGCAAAGTGCATCTCACCCATCTCTTGGAAAAAGGAGAGTGTGCAGAGCATTACAGCACCAGCTGCACTTGGATGTGGTCTCTGCTGCAGGAGTTCTAAATGGAGAAATTAACGCCGCCTTATACTGGGATGAGCTAGTACTGGGAAAGAAAACCATCCTATAATATCACCTGACTGTCTAATTCTGCGAAGCACTGCCGGTTTATGGGTATTTTCTTTAAACAAAGTTTTGAAGCTGAGCTTCACAAGAACCTAAGAAATGCATTGCTGGGGAGAGCCACCAGCCCTCTGCATTGCTGCCCTGTCTCCCGGGCTGGCAGTAGGACACGCGGCTTGGGGAAGACCTGCCACGTGTCCTACCGTCCTCCCAAACCTGCCACTATGGGGATCTCCTCCTGCCCCAACCTCCACAACCTTTTAAAAGGTTTATCCCCGCCTCAGTCATGAGTATCTACTTATGGATGTGTTTGCCAGCTCTCCCCCTTCCCAGCCAGCCGATATGGCCTTCACAACCTTCTTCCAGAAGTTCTCTACTTGCTCTGTAAAAGGAAAACATATTTTCTTCTATCCTCTTTAAACTGGTCTCCTATTAACTTCAATAAACGTGACCTTATCCTAACCTGGCTGGATTTGGTGACTTAACAGTTTTGCATCCAAGACACCCATCTTCTTCCTCATTTCCAAAAAAACAATTCAGCATGAGAGAAGGAGAGAAGGGGAAGGGATCAGAAGGTACTGAATATTTTTCCGCAGGCCTGTTGGCATTACTGATCTCAGCCAATGCCAAGTACACATAAAAAA